GTATGTTCGCTCGAGCGAAGAAAGCTACGCTCGAGCGAGACCCCTATTTTCAGCAAGTTTTGAAAAATATTTTTAAGTACATTTTTGCATCCTCATTCCATCCTAGGCATTCCTAGGTCATGATTAAGACATCATAATGCGGATAATGAAGTAGAACCACACCAACACAAGTAGAAAGGACTAAGTTATCAATTCCAGGTGTGTAATTTAGTATGAGTTCGTTCTGTAACTGTGTAGGTTTCGCACCTCAAGGAAGCTGAATAGCCTGCTTACAGCCCTGTTATCTGTGAGTAACAACGTTGTAAAGATATGTTCAGTCGTATTTATTTTTAGATTGATAAATCATATGGCTTCCTGAAATGATACTTTTTATCGATTGAATGATGATCCTATTTTGAATTGCATTCGTGGCATCCATAGTGCATTGTGATTGTTATTGTTATTGATATTGTTATTGTTACAGAGATCTCTGTTAGTTCCAAATCTGGGAACTATTGTTATTGTATGATGGCCATCAATTGATTGTTCGGTCATTTAAGACCAAGTGTATTGTTGCTATCAGATGTACCACGTATGACTTATATAGTTATCGATTGATTGAATTGATAAAATCGAATGATAACTCGACAAACGATATTGATTGAAAATGTTCTAATGCTAATCGATTGTTTCAAAAATTGAAAGTTCCAAATCTGGGAACTATTGTTATTGTATGATGGCCATCAATTGATTGTTCGGTCATTTAAGACCAAGATGTACCACGTATGACTTATATAGTTATCGATTGATTGAATTGATAAAATCGAATGATAACTCGACAAACGATATTGATTGAAAATGTTCTAATGCTAATCGATTGTTTCAAAAATTGAAGGACATCATTCTTAAACTCTTTACACGTTTGCTATTCACTGGGCTATAGCTCACAGTTATTATATATACGTAGGTGGTCAAGCACCGGACCAAAGCTGCGCTGACCCAAGCTCATGTTTTGTCAAGACAGCCATTGTGTGTCACATCGAGGTTCCGAACCTGCTCGAGTCAAGGCTTTTTGGGTGATACTATCCACCCTTTTGCTAAGTGTAATGAATGTTTAAGACTTTTAATTGTACAGTTTTCGTGATGGGATTATGTCCCTATCTTGTATTGCATTTTTGGTATAAGTGACTATGAATATGGTTATGTACGTAAAAGTTATTTCTATTCAGGTCTTCACAGCTCATTGGACGACGTATGTTATTGTTGATTGGCTTCCGCCAGCCCCTTTATAGTGTAATATTGTCATTATTGCTAAACAGGCCTCCGGTAATCACGGATTACTGGCCGGTTACGACGCCAAACCTATAAGGGTGGGTTTGGGTCGTGATAGTTGCAAATACCATGATTAGTAGTCGAGCCTATTTAGTCGTATCATTGCATGTGTTGCATTAGACATCTTGTATAGTTAGGATCATGCATTTTTCTAACTAGTTTTTGTTTTGGCTTGGAGTACTCGGTAAGTTTTTTGCTTTAGCATACTTGCACGAGTGTGATTGCCATATTTCCATGATTCGCATGTTTGCTATGAGGCTATGTGCTTACTTGCTAAACTGCATGAATGCTTGTGGATGGAGGCTTGATTGTTTGAATTGGAACAATTCAATGAATGTGTGTTTTAAGCCCACTTTGTTGTGGCAAAATCATGTTTTAAACCCATCTTGTTTGGTGGCAAATCTGTATTTTTAAGCCCATTTGAGGGTGGCAAATTCAAATCATTTTCGAGAACAAACATGAGTTAAGTTGTTATAAATTTTTACAATTTTAGTCTATATTTGCTTGTGCTCGTCACATAGTAATGTTAGCTAACAATCTAATATGTGCACATAATGTTTATAAAAGAACATATCATGATTAGTAAAGGCCGATCCTTTGATCGGGCGAGCGGTGGTGCTCATTTCAGGACCTTCCACTCTTGTACCCAAGTTCCTGAGTCGAGGCAACTTTGGTGATGACGGACATGTGGCCTTTGGCACGAGTCAGGGTTTCCTAAATTTTCCCAAAACAAAATATTTAGGTGGCGACTTTGTATCTGGCAAAACAGTCCAATTTTGGCACTATTTGATTTAAAATCAATTTTCTAAAAAGCTTTGCCGGATTTGGACTGTTTGGTGATTATCAATTTCACATCGCACTTTGTGAGATTTGATTTAGAACCGCGGGAGTCCGAACTCTGAGGCCTACTTTACAAACCCTTTCCGAAAGGTGGGGCGCGGAAAAAGGCAAGTCCACAAGTGGCAAATAAAATATTATATATATTCGTATCTAAGCACACTCAGATATCGGGAACATAACAATTCATTTATTTGGATTTACATGAATAAAATGATTAGTATAAAATCATTACTGTTTTGAAGTTATAAGAATATTGTCAAATAAATCATAATTGTAAAATTAATATAAATAATATTTCTTATCTTCTTCCTCAGATATGAGAGGTATGACTATTGTATCATATAATTTTCATGAAAAATATAAAGAATATAATTATTAGCATTTATTATGAAAGTAGCAGATATAAAATAACCCAAATTAAAAAATATTATTACTTGAAATTCTCACCATTTAGAACATTAGTATTGTTTGTTAATGCAGTGACTCTTGAATTGTAAATTTCTTCAAATAAATATATTTAGTATAAAAAATAATAAGAAATGTATATATATGAAATGATAATACTTCAGCGCTTACTTGTGACATTTCGAACGTTGGTTCTGTAATGGAATTATTTGTCATGTAAAACACATGCTCTTAACCGACGTGCTTATTTTTGAAGTTGTTTCAATTTATCCTTAAATGTGGGATCATCATGATCAGTCTGGCGTGAAATAAGTAATTTTCTTTTTCGAGGTAGTCGATTGATTTTGGTGGTAATTATATCATGTTCCATCCTATGATAAAATTTTTTGTAACAAATCTGGAATGAATATTTAATAAATTATAAAGTAGAAAATAAAAACACACAAATATCTGTATTGGTACCCATCTATTACTTGACTAAATAAGTTTTTAAAAAACGCAGAGATTGTCACAATTCACACAATTTTTTTTTCTCATCATGTGATTGAAAAGGAGTGTCCAAAAACTCAATCACAAATTAAGTCAATTGATCGTTAAAAAATACAATCATTTTTTTGTTTAAAAAACATAGTTGATTAAAGACCCAATTACAATTTTTTGCAAGATATCATATAATCTAATTATCAAAAAACATAGAAATTGTCACAACTCAAACAAAACAACAAAGTCAATTGGTAATTAATTTTTTTTTTTCAAAAAACATAGTGAGTTAACAAACCAATCTCAAATTAAGTTAATAGTTAAACAGCACAACAATTTTTTTTTTCAAAAAAAAAATACAGTGAGTTAAAAAATCCAATTACAAAGTACAAACTAATAATCAACATCAATAATGAGTATTTTATATGAACCTAATGAATACAATCTAATCACAATCACAAAACACAATCTAATCTTCATTAATAGTAGGCATTTTATGTGAACCTAATAAATTCAATCAATTTTTTTTTTTTCAAAAAACAAAGATTAAAAATACAATCACCATGTGATTGTATTCAAAAAACATAAATACAATTTTTTTCTCAAAAAGTACAGATTAAATGGAGTGTTGAAAAACACAATCATTAAAAAAAATAAAATCAACGTGGGATCAAAATGGAGTATAAAAAAACACAATCACAAATTAAGCTAATTAAAAAGAAGCAATGAAGTCAATTGATAATTAAAAAATACAATTATTTTTTTTTTCAAAAAGCATAGTGAGTTAAAAACCCAATCAGAGATTAAGCTAATTAATAGTTAAAAAGCACAACCATTTGTTTTGAAAAAAATATAGTAAGTTAAAAAATCTAATTACAAAATATAATCTAATCATCATCATCAATAGTGCGCAGTTTATGTGAACCTAATGAATACAATCTAATTTTTTTTCTTCAAAAAACATAGATTAAAAATACAATCACCGTATTGAAAAATAAATTAAGTCCAATTACAATCACAAAATACAATCCAATCATCATCAATCAAAGAGAGTGTAAAAATACAATCACCGTATTGAAAAACAATGAAGTCCATTGGTAATTAAAAAATAAAATTATTATTTTTTTTAAAAAAACATACAAATTAAGTTAATTGATAGTTAAAAAGCACAACATTTTTTTAAAAAAAAACTTACAGTGACTACTTTATGTGAATCTAATAAATACAATCTAATTTTTTTTTCAAAAAACATAGACTAAAAATACAATCACCGTGTGATTGTACACTACAGGAAATTACACTTTTGGTGACAATATTTGACGACTAAAAAAAATTTGATCGCCAAAAGTTGTGGAGTTGGCGACCAAAAAATTATATTAGTCGGCAAAAGTACAAGATTTGGCTACTAATTTTTTTTAGTCGGGGTATATTAATTATTGGCGGTTAAAAAAAAAATAGTTGCTAAAAATGCCACAATTGGCGACTAAAAGAATATTTATTCGCTAAATATGTCACAATTGATGACCAAAAAAAATTTTAGTCGTTGTATAGTTACTTTTAGCTACTAAAATTATTTAATCGCCGAATGAAAAACAAAAATTTACTTTTTATCTTTGGCGACCACAAGTTTAGTAGCCAAAAAATTAGTTTCAGCGACTAAAAAATTATTTAGTCGCCAATAGTGGTACAATTGGCGACTAAAATCTAAATTTAGTCGGCATTGATAACATATTTTTTGGAGGGAAAGTTTTTCAATTTTTTTGGGGGGAAAATTTTCTAAATAACAGCTTACATATGCTTTGGCAACTAAAAAATATTTAGTCGCGGTATACTCAATTTTTCCTGACAAAAGTACAATTAGTCACCAAATAGTGAACTTATGGCGACTAAAAAATGTTTTTGTCGCTAAAAGAGTTAATAGTTAGTTGGAACATATTTCAGGCGCCCAGATTTGGTGCCCAAATTTGATTCTCTTTCCTCTGTGTGTGTGTGTCTCTCTCTTAGAGAACCTCACCTCTTCACCGAAGTCCATCACCACTGTTGATCACGTTCGTCGCACATCACCACCGCTGTAAATCGCTACCGCCACTGCCGCAATACAAACAGGTTCTTTCTCTTTCTCCCCTGTCTCTCTTGCTCTCTCTGTCTTTCTCTTTCTAGGATTTCTAGGGTTTGAAAATGGTATCGTGAAGCGCGAGGATTTGTTTATTATCTCCAAACTCTGGTTTGAATCAATCTTTATTTTGCTTAAATCTGGCATTAACATATTTAACAGATTGCTATATATGTATATATATGTATTTGCTTATGCTAAGATGATAGTGTTGTGTTGCTTTACTCTCTATTTAGAGTCATTAAGCACAAACAGAGGATCAAGAAAGAAGAGCTATCGAAATGGAGAAGGACTCACGTGCTCGGCTTTTTCTTCTTCTGTTCTTCCCTCTGCTCTCCTCTTCAACTGCGACAGCATGCTCGTTGATAAAGAGAAGGACGGCTATCGCATTTCTTTCAACGACACTTTCACTGAAGTACACCCCTTCCTTGTCTCTTTGTTCTTCCTATGCCATTTTTTGTTTGATTTTTGATAAAATTTCCAAGTTTTCTGAATTGGATTGTGTTTTCTTTTGTTTGTTTATGGGGGAATTTTGTGTTCGCTCTGTTTGTATTGAGCTAATTTCGATTTTATTGAATTGGGTTTTGATTATATTTTTGTAATTTGTGTGCATGAAGTTCATTCTTTGTTATAATGAGTTGCTGATTTGTTTACAAATTGGGTTGAGTTGGGTTGGGTTGTATTTTGTTTTGTTTTTTTTGTGGGGAATTTGTGTTCTGATTTCGATTTTACTGAATTGGGTTTTGATTATATTTTTTCAATATATATATATTTTTTTGCATTGAAGTTGTTTGATTTGATTACAAAGTAAAATTGATTTTACACAGAGGGATTGTGAGTTAACTGGGATGTGGATTTGTATGGCGTGTTGCTCAAAATTGGGGGAGGAAAAGAAAGGTAATGACTCTTTTTGGGAAAAGTGTAAATCTATTACAAGTTATATAAATCTCATAGAGAACATTGAATTTGATTTATTGAAGTAGAGGGATCATGAGAATATATTTATAATGGGAACAAAAACATAAGCCTAAAGTTCTAATTATGTAGGATAGCCAATGTTGTTGAATCCAACTTGTAGTAAATGACACAATTGAATTGGTTATGTGCACAACTGTGTGTATTATTCCCTTTAAATCATCAATCATCAATTGAATAGTCTGGCCTGTTTGCTATAATTGCACAATGTGGGGCTGAGATGACTTGACATGTTCATTTTCTTCTCAACTAGAGGCATGTTGCTATGGACTTACTATGAGCACATATTGCAGTTGAAATTTTGTTCTAACTGCTTTTGTTTTTTTGTGTGTTTGGTTTCATGTCCTAACTGCTTCTGGTTTTTACAAAACTTACAAACTGAGTTTGTCAATTCCTTCTAAGGTAATGAGAATTCAAAACATTCTTCAATTTTGCTTGTGAAGCCCCTGAAAAATGTATTTTCTTTAAAAACCCTTACGTTTGAATTATTTCCTTAAAAGCCCCTAAGTTTCTTAAATTATTTCGAATCTTGCCGGTTAGCATTTTTAATTTTTATCGGAATAGGAATATCCTAGCCGAATTAGGTTCCTTAGCCTAATTTAATTTAATTCTACATAAATAAGGTTCCAATACATGAGTTTAATTCCAAGCCCTCACTTCTTTTATTAATTTCAAGATTTGCCCAAAACTAGTACATGTACTTTTTATACTATAATACCACCAAATCAATTTGTGGATCTATATATACATTGGGAATATATCCATAGTACTCATATATTGAATAAAATATACCACATTTCCCTTCCCCATGGCCGGCCAACCTAGGAGAATGTGAGGGACCAATTTTCGAGGCATGTAATCATGACAATCTAGAAGCAAAGTACAGGTACCCTTAAATCTAGGAATTGTGTCCCCAACCTAGTTCCATTCCAACTAGAGACTAGCTAAATCATGTCTAATCACATAATTAAGTCCCCTAATCACTTCCTATTTCATTAGACTCCAAGTAAATCCAAACTTTTCAATCCAATTCCAACTAATGGGCCTTTGTGTCTTTTCACACCAAATTTGCCTACAAATACAACCATCCACATAGTATAGCATACACAAACAACACGCACACACCTACATTCGGCCTAGAGGAGAGGAAGGAGAGCAAGAGAAGAGTCTTGAGAGGGAGAGGAAGGAAGAGGAGAGCAATCTTGTTCAACTTGGCCTAGCCTAGCAAGTAAGCCACAACACAACTCTCTCTCTCATTTTCCTCTTTCAAATACATGCTCTTAAGGGTTGTAAACATTGTTTTCAGATGTGTTTTAATGATTTCCTTGTGTTAAAAATGAAAAGAGTTGAGCCATGATTCTACTCTTCTTGTAGGTTCCCTTAATCGGTACAAAACTATCTTTTTCATATCAATCTCTCAAACTTTCCAAAGGCACACCTTGAAGATAAATTTCTGAGTCTAATATCTATTATTTAGCATGTTTTCATCACACAAAAGAAATGAAGAAAAATTTCCCTTAGTGGATCTCCTTTCTCACAAATCCTCTTGTTTTTTAGTATTGTGCATTAGAAATCTGTTTTTACGTCCAACTTTCAAGAAATTTAGAAAAATGTAGAAAAATATTCTGGACCTCATTTTTATGCCAAAATCTTCATTAAGAAGTTATTTTTCAAGGAAAATTGGTTTCATTGAAAAAAAGTGAGCGGTTTGTAAGAAAATCAAATTTTCGCAACGGTCGACGAATCTGGACAGTGCTGGAGTATTTCTTAAATAACTAAAAATCTAGAAAAGCTATCCCATTTCCGAAATATGTTCTAGAAACTAGATTAAATTCTCTACGAACATAGGAAGGCCAGGTTCTATAAAAATCTAAAATAGCCCTTTTTATTTTAATCTTTAAATGGTACTGAATCTGAAAATTTAGTTTCGCATGGGTGTTTTATGCTCTTGTGTTCATGAATATGCTTATTAGTTTATGATCATGTCTTGATATGATATCGCATGTGTTATGGTTATGTTTCTTATCTTCTTCATTTTAATGATGCATGCTTACGTGGATATTACTATCTTGTTAAGTTGGTCTAACCTTAATTCAAAACATTTAACTCAACGAAAAACTTAATTGAGATGGTATTGGGTTTTCGATCACTTGAATAATGAAGAGATGATAATGTGTTATGTATGGATTGTTGGGATACATTCCCTATTTGGAAGTTAAAGTCTTGCGCAAGTGGTTTTTCGGAACCCTTGAACGAAGCGGTTGTATTCGGACCCTAGGTATTTGGTGTGAGGAGGGATTTGGGCAAGGCCCATTATTACCGTATTTTTTGAGGTCCTGTGGTTAGCGCTACGCAGTACATAACTGTTGGTAGGCATCCGAGGTAAGGTCTGCAACCAAGCAGCAAAAGAGAGGGCATACCGAATAATCCGCATCCGATTCTTGTGGTTGGGAGGACGAAATCTCTTTGGGGGATTTCTAGTTTACTAACGTCTAACTTTGTAACCCTTTGTTGTTTAGTTAAATATCATGCTTCATTACTTCTTGTCATATTTGTGATTGTGTATTGGATTGGGAAAAAGGGACGAGGTGTGTGTGCATTTACTAGGCATTCAAAGCTTACGGCATATCATGCCAGGTGCCAAAGAGGAGCTTATAGCTGGGGACGACGAGCCGGAAACCTTCGAAGACTTTTGGCTATCTTAGAAAAGTTAGAAATTTCCCTTTTGATATTTTGTAAGGCTCATATGAAGATTTAAATTTTCTTTTGGGATGTAATGTAATGGAACGAGCTTTTGTAATTAAGGATATTCGTGGTTATTATGTACATTTATTCTAACACCAATATAACCCCTAACGTTGCTTATGAGACCTTGTATCAATACCTCTTAAGATCTGTCAAAAAGGTAGTGCGCTGCCTAAGAAAGCCGGACTTATAAGGGAGGCTAATTTGGCTCCTTCGGCGATCTGTGATCTTACTTGGTTATTGACCATAGGACTCATTAGTGACTTTCCGTTGATTACAACCAATAGTGTAAATTCGGGATGTCACATTGCTTCATATCATTTTATGTGTTTTAATTACTTTTCTGTTTTTTAGTTTTATATCATTTTAGAATGTGCATTGTTGGGAAGGACTGACTTGCTAAATCGTTTTCCTAACTCGTTTTTGTTTGAGAACTATTATATATCACTATATAATTTTAGCATTTTTTTTCGCCTTCTACATAAATTATGCAACAAATGTTATATGTACATGTAGGACATTAATACTCCTATTTCCCTTTTTGTTTTGTTCATATATCCCAACTGTTTGTAGTCTATAATAACTTAGAAGCTGATTTTATAAACTTTCTAGTCTATTAAGTGATTCTTTTCCTCTGTTCTATTACTAAGGTTGATTGAAGAAGCCAACCTTTTTTCTTTTTTTTTAAAAAAAAAAAATTATAGCTATCTTGTTTGCCAATCTGGATTGGAAAGCAGGTTTTAGTCTCTTTTCTTACATTTGGAGATGGGATGCTTTTGGGATTTTCTTCATGGTATGTTTGGGTCATGGATTTGGCTAGGGAAAGGGAGAGGGAGAGGTAAAGGGAAATTGCTGAAAGTCATCATACATCCATTTCTAAATCTGTTTGAAATGCATAAATCTATTTCAAATTATATAATTTTGCTATTGAATTTTTTTGTTTGAAAGTACGTGTTAATGTTGGTCATACATTAATGAATCATTTGAGAGCCACTTAGTGAAATTATAAGAATATCATATGGACTCCAGAGTATTAGTAAGCTTTAACATGATTGTAAGATGGATTCATTTCTAGGGGTTGTGCTCTTTCTTATTTGATGTTCTGTACTAGTTTATAAGTGTAAGGTGTGCTCTTTCGTAGCACACTTGGCCTTCTTTTTTTCATATAGTGATTGATTTGTGCAAACACCCACTTTTGCTGCTAATGATTAATTTGAAAAGATTAATTAAGTTCGAGTTTTATATTTTTTTTCTTATAATTTTAAATTGGCCAATAATTAGTCAATACTAATGATTAATTCTATTTTTGCAGGTGGCTTTTGACGTCCAAATGTAGATATGACTTTTTTTGACAAGTATGTAAGGCCATTGTTTTTATACCTCTGTTTGTATATATGGTTCATACAAATTATTTTTTTGGCGTGGTAAATATCTAAAATTTGGCTTGGTAGATATTAGCATTCGACGTCGTACAAATTAATTTTTCAGGTAGTATATATTAAATTTTTGGTATGGTACAGATTTCCTTTTGGATATTAAATTTGGTTAATCCTATATTATGTATGAAATTAAATTATTGAGGTTGGATTATACTTGGTATGTATGGAATTTGTATTACATTTAGAATTGAACGCTCAATATTAATTTTTTGGATGGCTGGAAGTGAAATGTGTGGACGTTGTCGAATGGTTGATAACATAGTATTTGCTGACTAAATATTCAGTATTAATGGATATAGGTGGTTCAGAAAATTTTATTAAAAAAAAAATTAATATAGTATTTGGCGACTAAATATTTTGGTTGCCAAATATGTAAGCAAATGGTTTGGCGACTAATAATTTAGTAGCAAAAATAGAACGAAATGGGTTTTAGCGACCAAATAGTTAGTAGCTAAAATATCACTTTTGCCAACTAACCAATGTTTAGTAGCCAAACGTGCCCTTTCGGCGACCAATGTTTTAGTTGCGAAAAGATTACATTTGTCGACTAAATAAAATTTAGTAGCCAAATGTTTCACTTTCGATGACCAAAATCATGTAAAAATAATCAGTTGATCCAATTGAATCAAACTATCTTAAGAAAACACACGATCTATTCTCAAAATCATATTAGTTGTTCATTTTTTGAGACAAATATAATCAAATCACATGACTTTTAATGTCTGATCCGTCTAATTTTTTGTATGAATAATTTATTCTACAAGCTTTAGAAGATATATAACATCGATTCCCGAGATAAATTTTGGATGGGTCTCCAGCCCTCCAATTGGACCCTCTAGAGCGGAGAAAAGTTTGATTTATATTTTTATTCTTGCCCTTTCCATAAGTAATGGTAATTTCTCCACCTAACATGTATGTATGAATTAAGTCGTATGATGCATCTACGGATCTACGGTGGTATGTAATTGCCAAAATGATAGGTAGGTACATTTCATGTCTGGTTTGGGTAAAAATAGAGGTTGCCCAAGTTGGCCCCTCATTTTGACAAGGGGGAAAAGCAAGCATCATGACCAACTTGACCCATTTTGTACTAAAATACAACTATTTGAGGAGCACACTGCATGTAATGTTACTTCTTTTGAGTGTGAAAATTGTGTTATTTTGGGTCTTTTTCAACTCTGGTTCAGAAGATTTTAGTTCATCTATTTGGTGAGGTCTTTCCTCTTTGTTTATTTGTGATTATTTGGAATTCACCTAAGGGTGATTTTTGTGAGACCATTAGTGTCTCGTTTGTAATCGTTTGAAACTTATTTGGTTGATAGTGGAATCGGATTTCGATCCCGTGGACGTACCTCACATTGAGGGAACCACGTAAAAATTCTTGTGTTACCTTTGATTTAATTTTTCCGCATTAATTTTTATTCTCATTGATTGATTTACTTGTGGGGAATCACATCGATTTTCCCTAACAAATTGTCATGCTGTTGGTAGGTCATAAGCCTCAGCCTCAGCCCAAAGCCACCAAAGCTCGAACCAAACCAAAAAGGATACAACTTGAGGAATAACTACCCTACATTTTAATCTTATTCAAGCTATTGTTCACATGAGGTGTGGGCGAACTAGGCTTAAAAAATTCGAGAATTGAACCAATTCTCTTTTTAAAATGACACATTGTTTTTGGGTTTTTTAAATAGTTTGTGAAATTGGTTTTTTCAATAATTTTTTTTTTAAAAAGAGATAAAGAGTAATATTTTTTTTATCCTGATTAATGAATTATTGACTAAAAAATGGACAAAATATTATGTGAATTAAATTTTTAAAATACCCATAACAAATTATGTCAAAATTATGTGATCCGGTGTATTTGTTCGAAATATCAAAATTTGTAAATATAATTTACCCAAATTTTAAATTATGAGGGAACTGTGATTCCAATCCTAATTTACTCTAATTAGGTTGGTTGGATTCTGAAGACTGATCAATTTGTTTTGTTTACTTCAATTATAAATTTGACTATAGCCCAACCCAATTGCATCACAATAACTACTAAAGAATATAGCCTTGTGATATTTGCAATCTTACTACTCGGACGTCTTTCCAAAATAGTACTTCGGAGTCCTTACAATTTGTTTATTTAATTTAGAAAAGACAACGTTTTACATATAAAATTATTACAGCTGTTGTCGTGGGTGTGAATCCTGGCCGAGGCATCCCTCAAAATTCAAACTAACTAGCAAACAATAATAGAAAGAAAGAGTTTGAATGTTCAATGCTTTTGAAATTAGAAAATGTTTCGTGTTCACGAATGCAAAGTCAAAAGTGACCTTTTTGTCGCTTTCATTAAAATCCAAAAGTTTAATTGACCTTTAAAAATGGTAATCCCCACCAACAAGGGTTGGTTCAGTTGGTAAGACTCTTTTTATTTGCTCATTTGGTTTTGGTTCGAATAGCCTTGTGATATTTGCAATCTTACTACTCGGACGTCTTTCCAAAATAGTACTTCGGAGTCCTTACAATTTGTTTATTTAATTTAGAAAAGACAACGTTTTACATATAAAATTATTACAGCTGTTGTCGTGGGTGTGAATCCTGGCCGAGGCATCCCTCAAAATTCAAACTAACTAGCAAACAATAATAGAAAGAAAGAGTTTGAATGTTCAATGCTTTTGAAATTAGAAAATGTTTCGTGTTCACGAAAGCGAAGTCAAAAGTGACCTTTTTGTCGCTTTCATTAAAATCCAAAAGTTTAATTGACCTTTAAAAATGGTAATCCCTACCAACAAGGGTTGGTTCAGTTGGTAAGACTCTTTTTATTTGCTCATTTGGTTTTGGTTCGAGTCTTGTTGTCGGCAATTCTTTGTTGGTGGGCGATATTGCGTAACGCTTTTCTTGGCCTTAGAACGAGGGTAGCCTCTCCTCCTCCTAAATTTTATTTTTTATTTTTTATTTTTTTATGAATCTAAAAAAAAAAAATGGTAATCCCCGTCCTAGAAAGGAGTGTTCCCAATGAGACGGGTTAGAATGAGCTCACCCCACCTTGTTTTACTATGGTCTCTCTTCTCATTTTGTGGTGGCAACACAATATAGTTTTATATTTTCTTGAAAAACATGAAAATAAAATTGATTTAATTAAGAAGAAAAGAAATGATGCTTGATGCAAAATAATTTTGAATCAATTCCATTTTGTACGAAAACAAATGAGAATGTTTTTAAATATCTAAAAGTGATTTTGGTAATTTTACTTTCACTTAAATATCTAGTTATAAAAGAACATTTTTAAATTGACAATTTATTTTCAAATGTGTCTCGTGCTTTTTCATAAATAAAAAAAAAAAATTATTTACTTGAAAGAATGACTTTTGTTCATTTATTCACCAATCTATTATACATGTGTTAGATAATGTCTCAATGGGACCACATAATTAAATGTGGTGTTATCATTTATAAGAAGCCTACAATTTAAGTGATTCAATTTAGTTAATAGGCTTAAAGGTATATGTGTTATGGACCTAATGTGTAGATACTAGTTGTATAATTTTTATTTCTATGAGGGGCATAAATAGAAATTAAAACATATTGGTTAAAGTTGGTTTTCATTCCTTTTGAACTTCCACAACCTTTTAGTTTTGAAAACCAATAAATAGATATTAAAACCAATAATGGTTAAAGTTGGTTTTCATTCCTTTTGAACTTTCACAACCTTTCAGTTTTGAAAACCAATTACAACCTTTAAAAGGTTATGGTCGCTGTTCCTTCCCAAGTGGAAAATAAGAACACCGTCATTTTTTTCCTAAATCCTCTCAAGGAGAAACATAAGGCACCAAAGGGGAAAGGATTAGAAGGCAATAACATAATAAATAACAAAGAGTTCATTGATAATCACGCTTCCGTTTAACCATTCATCAATGGATTCAGGTATGTCATTTTGTCTTGATTTCTTGATAATACACATGGTAAATGATCCAAAGTATAAGGTTTATGTTCTGAAATTTATGTTTACAATATGTTCATGAATAAGTTACCATCATCCAAAGACAAAAAAATACTATTGTGTTTTGAATTGTTGATTTGGACAGAGATTAGAAAGGAAAAAGAAAAAAGTGGATAATAAGTGTGAGATGAAATGAAATTATATTTTATTTATATTTCATCATTTTTTTTTTCCCTTTTACTTTTCAAGTCTCTACCTAAATTTATAATTGAAACACAACTTAATGAAGAAAATTAAATTCCACATGTATTTTCCCCCCTCCTAATCTCTACTATATAATCAAGTAAAAAAACAAGGATCATCGTATGATGCACACCATTCTATAAGTTAATGATATTTATAGTGTTATTTATCACAAATATTATAACTAGAGATTCTTTTTGAGGGATAACTAAAAAAACAAATTAGTCATAATCAAATACTATAATGTTAAAAAAAAAAAAAAAAAAATCGAACACTACATATAACTAAATATATTCTAAATCATAACAAAAACCATATCATTATTAACATTACAATAAATTATAATTAAAAATTACAAAAAAAAAAAAAACCTCATAACTGAAGCGTATCATACAAATGTGTCTCGTAGAATTTCCCAACAAAGAATTCCAAAAGAATCGGAGGAGATATTACACATTTGTGGACATGGAGGGGTAATTTCGTAATTAAAGTATATGGCGATTTTGTAAAATGCCAGATGTCGGTAGGAGATAGCAGCGACCTTTTCTTTTAGTAAAGCCGCAACACAGTGAGTAAAAATCAGGGGTTATTCAATTCTAGACACGTGATCCCCTAATGTTTTAATTGGTAGAAAGGAGGAAAAGTCTACTCCCTAATGTTTTAATTGGTAGAAACGAAGAAGAGTCTACTATTTATCTTAGGGATAGAAAATAACACAAAATTAAATAATTAATGATTGACTTGAAATATAGACAAGTAGCATTTGGTTATTGAATAATTTCCAATAAAAACCGTGGGATCAAATTGATCTCATCCATTTGTTTAACGCTTTGACAAATTGACTTATGTTCGTATTCTCTCTATTTGAACTCCCTCCTTCTCCGCCCATTCGTATCTTCTCTCTCTCTCTCTCTCTCTCTCCATGCAAATGTATCCATGATATTCCATTGTGAGTCATAGGAATCTATTTATTTCGCTTCTTTCGAATTTTGTTTTAGTTATTTTAGGCAAAGAATTTGGATTTTTCAGAGAAAAAATACAGAGTAGAATCATCTTCAAGTCTCAGAGTATCGACTCTCAGTTTGAATTTCATTGATATAGCTGAGGAGTATAATAATTGAGAAAGAACCCAGAAATTTATATTGGGCTGGAAGAAAATGCTGTCTGAATCTCCTCCTCCGAATCGATTAGTAAGTGTTTTTGTAGTTGTAATTCTCTCTCTCTCTCTAATAACTCAGTATCCCGCTCAATAAACCGATTAATTCAGAAACTAATTTCACCATCTACTAGCGGAACCCAATTAAAACTGGGGCTAAATCTCGTATGAACTGGTTTTAAGAAATTATTTGTACCTAATAGAATCGAACAGATCATTGACGAGCACAAAACAGCCACAGGGGTTATGGTTTAGGGTGCAATTGTTTGTAGTTCTCTATTACTCTGTTTCATACATGTTTCTTTGTAAATACTATGATTTTGTAAGGTTATATCTTGTCTCCCTATGGATTCTCTAACAGTGGAGGCGTAGACTATTTTATTTTTTTAATATTTTAAAGTTTGAATTTTTAGTTCTTCATCGTATAATGTTTTTTTTTTTTTTTTTTTTTTCTTTTTTTTTTGTCTTTAGTAATTGCACCCTTACTATATGATTTGGCTAAAAACAAACATAACCCCTTAATAAAAAATAAAAAAAATAGAGGAAAATTGGTTTAGCGGCACGTCGACCCTACATGATGAGTTGATTTGAAAAGAATGTGATTTATTTATTTTGACTTTTTAGGATTGGTTTGGCATGTTTGAAAAAAGTTAAAATCTTAAAAAGTCACTATTCTATTTAAGTCACATCATCTTATTTAAGTCACATCACCTTTCTAACTCATCACTTCAAACCCAATCCAAACCCAACTCATATTTCATAAAAAGTCAAAACGTGCACTTATTTAGATCATCCCAAACAACTCTTAAAAAAACAGTTTACTTGGAAATAGCCAAATTGATATTAAAAATAATGTGCCAAATGAATTTTCATCTCACTTTCTTCAAATAATCTTTATTTTTTAACACATTTTTAGAGAGAGAGCACGAGTGGTTAGGGAAAGTGAAAGAAAGAGAAAAATGGTGAAAGAAAAATGCCGAGAAAAAAGAGGTAACATAGACTTTTCAGAAAGAAGGATAATGTCTTAATTAAGAAGTAGTTCTCTTTCATATCTTTGCCTAGGCGTGTAACAGTGACGTTATGATATTCTCACTTTGAAACTATAAATTTTATCATTATACAAATTATAAAAATCTAAAATTTTTAAAATTATATCAAATAGTACATGATATACTAATTAGTGCGTATAATTTTATTTTGGGGTGTAATTAGTTGAGTTTGGTCAAAGTTAAAACGAAGATTTAGCAAAACTTTCGATTTTGTTAGTTAAGGAAGACATGCTACAATTCAATTTTATCAGTATCTGATTTTGTGTAACAGAGGAATTTACAAAAAAAAATTATAGAAACCTATAAAATCTGCTCTATAAATGGTCTCTCCCTAACCTTTGTTACAAAACGTGAAGCATTATTCACTTATTTTCTAATCCTTATAATCAGAATATCAGAAATATTTTTTATTATATTTTGATCGGTCCAGTCAGTACAAGTTATTAAGTGTAAAATTTGTCAGAACCGAAACAAGCCATCATTATGGAAACCCCGATTGAAGACCAAAATTTCGGCTGATCTTGTGCAGTCGGTTCAGTTTCACTGGTTTTTGTTACTGCCCTGTGTTTGCCAGTTTTTTTTTTTGTTTTTAATGTACCTTTGATCTCTGCTCTGTTCCATACTTGGTTTAAGAAGGTGGAGGGAAAGAAAGAACTTAAAATGTGAAAATTACTTGGAGTGTTCTTTCAATTGCTGTTTAATTTTTAATAACACTCTGTCCCAGTTGAACCGAATGGGATTTTTGGTTTATTGCATGGTCTGTTGTCCAAATTCTACCAACCCATTTCTTTCTTTTTTAACTAATCTTGTTCATAGATTCTAAAATCCCCAATATGCTTTTCTTTCCGATATTTCCTACAAAACTGTGTTACCTTTTCTTTTCTTGTTTCTTTTGAATAATGATGAAAAACATAACAATGTCCTCTATGCTTCATTTGTGGAAATTGTACCAGAGGACTCTGTGTTTGGCCTACCAGAGCTTTGGGATTGTTTACGGTGACCTCAGTACATCGCCCATATATGTCTACAAAAGTACTTTTTCTGGAAGCTTGCACCCTTACAAAGAAGACCATGAGATTCTTGGGGTACTTTCTCTGGTTTTCTGGACTTTGACTCTCATCCCGCTTTGCAAATACATTTTAATTGTATTAGCAGCCGACGACAATGGTGAAGGTGTTCACAATGACCTGTATAATAACTGATATTGTTTATGTATTTATAAACTTCTACTGGTATTTGGATTGAGTGCAATAGAGCCTTTATCCTTGTTTTTACAGGTGGAACCTTTGCTTTGTATTCACTACTGTGTCGACACTTAAAGACAGGCCTTTTGAGCACTTCCCATGGTGCACTTCATCGTGTAACATCTTCTGACAACGCTGGAACTTCTGTCAAAGAGACGAAAACTAGCTTACTTATAAAGGACTTCTTCGAAAAGCATCATAGCTCTCGCGTTGTGTTGCTGCTGGTTGTTCTTCTTGGGACTAGCATGGTTATTGGTGATGGAATCCTGACCCCAACAATGTCTGGTATGAATTGTAATGGACCCAAGAAAGATCAAGTTTTGATTTTCCAACAAAAGTATTTTTCTACTCGTGTACATTCTTCCTATAGCAATGATTGACTTACACTCTTTTTATGTTGGTTGGCAGTCGTTTCTGCAGTCAATGGACTTAGAATCAAAATCACAGTCACAGATTTGCATGGATGTAAGCTGAATTGGCAAATGCTTGTTTATTTATTGCTTCATTTGATTGTTAACAAGATGTGGAATATAGAATTGGAAACTAGAATATATATATATATACATATATATATATAAGGGTAGCACTGTAGTTGCTATTTAATGTTGCCATTAATTCCTAATGATTTACTTTTGAAAAACATGTTTTGATAAAAAAAAAAAAAAAGATTGTATTTTATGGGACATCTTACGTGTAACTCTGAAATTTCGGAGGTACCTGTGTCAACACAACACGACACGACACGGGTATGGATGCGAGATACGGCCGGAATATGGCTCTTTACAAATGGATACGTCTAGGTTTTGTCCTAAATATAGAAGAAACGAAAGAGTATAGAGGGAGAGAACCTACCTTCTTCTCGATTTAGTCTTTTCTGCCTTTTTCGATCTCGTCTTGCATCTTCTTCTCAATCGATCTCTTCTTCTCTCTCTCTCAGTCGATCCAGCTTCTTCTCTTCTCTGTCTTCTTCGATCTCCTCTTCTCTGTCTATCTTCTTCAATGTTGTCTCTCCTCTTCTCTCTCTCTCTATTTGTCGATCTGTTCTCACTCTCTCTCTCTCTCTCTCTCTCTTCCCTTTTCAACATATAATAAATAAAATAAATCATCCATTTGTTTTAAAAAAATCTAATTAAATCATATATAATAAAAAAAATCTTAAAAAAAATTATAAAATAAAACATTCAATTTTTAATTTTTATTTATTTTAACATAATTTGTTATTACTTACTTGCTATAATTTTTTATTTATAATATATATATGTCAATTAAAAATTAAAAATAAATTATATAGATAAATTAAAAATATTATTAATAAAAATACTACATAAAACAATAAATATATTTAAAAAATAACAATTTAACTCATCTTTATACAATAAATATATTTTAAAAATAATTATTTAACATATCCTGTACCTGTATCCACATTGAGATTCATATTCACGTATCTTTAATTTTTAATTTTGAAGTGTCCAACCTCTAAATACACATCCGCACCCGATACTCACACCCGAATCCTTGTAAAGTAGATCTTACCCCTATTATACAATATTTTAGAATATACGATCATTTTCATTCCTCATATTGGAAATGTCCGCTTCATAGGTTACATAGTATGTTAGTGCAGTGAAGCATGCAATATTGTTTTCATTCAGTATTCAAGAGAAAAAAAGACTCAAGTATCCCCTTCCAACTTTTATCCCCTCAAATTAATTATTGTAAACAGTACTCTTCTAAATTTTAAATGGCAGATTATACTTCGTTAATCGCTTGCGTCATCTTGGTGGGCATTTTTGCTCTTCAGCACTATGGGACACACAGAGTCGGCTTCCTTTTCGCTCCTATCTTGATATCTTGGCTTGTATGCATAAGTGGAATAGGAATTTACAACATAATTTATTGGAACCCCCAAGTAGTTTATGCGACGTCACCATATTATGCATACAATTTTTTCAAGCTAGCTGGAAAAGATGGATGGAGGTCCCTTGGGGGCGTTGTCCTTTGCATTACAGGTCAGTTAGAATTTTTTAATTTTTTTTTGGCAGCATTTCAGCAAGAACATCTTTTTATAAAGCTCAAAATTACTCTGGTTCCATTCCATCAGGTGCAGAAGCTATGTTTGCTGATCTCGGTCATTTCTCCCAACTCTCTCTCAGGGTGAATTTCTTGATTTACTCGCACTGTGTGTGTGTGTGTTTATTTATTATGTACATGCATGTAAATTTGCATGTCCACAAATTTTTATTGATTTTCACTTTTCTTCATCGGACAGATTACATTTATTGTAGTTGTTTACCCGTGCTTAGTTCTGGCATACATGGGTGAAGCCGCTTACCTCACTAAGAACAAAATGGAACTCCAGAGTAGCTTCTACAAGGCTATTCCAGGTGAGACTTAAGGTCTAGATGAGGGTAAAATTTGCTGACACACTGATGCATTGAATGGGTAAAACTCGGCACATTTAATTTTTTTTTTTTTGGTTTTGTCCATTTGTTTTATGTGGTTTTTGTTTCCATGTGTGCTTGTAGTTCCATTGATTGTTAGAAGTTTTGGGCACAATCTCATGTCTTCTTGCTTTTATCTTGACCTACAGAGCGAATATTTTGGCCAGTGTTTATTATTGCAACTCTTGCAACTGCAGTGGGAAGTCAGGCAATCATATCAGCTACTTTCTCAATTATAAGTCAGTGCAGGGCACTGAGGTGCTTCCCGCGTGTGAACATAATACACACATCAGGCCAAGTACACGGACAGATTTACATACCTGAGGTGAACTGGACTTTGATGGTGTTGTGTCTTGGAGTTGTGATTGGCTTTAGAGACACCAATAGGATTGGAAATGCATATGGTTCGTCTCTCTCTCCCCTCTTGGATGTGAGTGCATGATATGAAATTGAGCTTCTTATCAAACTATTGTTTTGCATATAGGTCTTGCTGTGATCACAGTAATGTTTGTCACGACTTGCTTGATGTTTCTAATAATCAGTACAGTTTGGAATCGAAATGTGCTTTTGGCAGCTACGTTCGTAGTAGTCTTTGGATCCATAGAGCTGCTTTATCTCTCTGCGTGCCTTTGTAAAGTACATAAAGGAGGCTGGCTTCCCCTTCTCTTTTCTCTCGTGATCTTGGCTCTGATGTCTGCGTGGCAGTATGGAACGTCAAAGAAACAGGCCTTTGAGCTTGAGAACAAAGCATCCATGGAGAGGCTTCTCAGTCTTGGCCCAAGCTTGGGTATGGTCAGGGTTCGTGGGATCGCTCTAATTTACTCGAGCCTTGCAGCCACGGTGCCACCGATGTTTGCACATTGGGTAACAAATTTCCCTGCTTTGCATCAGATTCTCATTTTTGTGACCCTTGAAAATTATATGGTCCCCAATGTTCCACTCTCTGATCGTATCCATGTCGGGCGGATTGGCCCTCAAGACTCCAGAGCATTTTGGTGTATTGTCAGGTGCATGTAGATAAGATTTCACCAGTACCTAACTTCTTTCGACACCAACTTATAAACTTTTTTTTTCCTAATGTATTTTTGTTCTCAATGATTCTTTTTTTTTTTTTTATAAAAAAAACATGTCAATTCTTTTTACTGGGTCTGTCTAGATTTGACAACCCTTAAAATTGTAAAAATTCAAAAAACATTTGAAAAAGTTTACTAATTGAAAAAAATTATGCAAGTAGGCTTATTGATATCTTTGCTATTTTTTTTTTCCTTGAAATTTTAATGGTTGTCTAGTTTAGAAGGACCGAAAGAATAATATATTTTCACTCAAAGTTTAATAAAGACAAAAATAGGTCTAAAATATGGTAACTCATAAGGTGGCGCCAAAAGATTCTAGCTAATATATATGTTGTTTTTTATTATGTTGCTATGTCAGGTATGGATTCAAGGATCCGCGAGACAGCTATAACCTTGAAACTCAGCTGATTGACAAGGTGGAAGAATTCTTGCGAAGTGATTCACATGATGAAGAACCGGCGATTAATGGATATCCATCATTTCCTGTTCTTCATGATGAGGCTGGAGTTGGTGTTGGCAGAAGAAGAAATGCTGGGTCAACAAGTTTGCAATTGAACGAGGAGTTACAGGAACTGATAGAAGCAAGGGAAGCTGGGGTGGTTTACATGCTGGGCAACACTTACATTGTGGCAAGTGAGGTATCACCGGTTATGAAGAAGTTTGCCATTAACACTGTGTACGCGTTTCTCAGGCGTAACAGTAGGCGACCGGCTGCTGCGCTTGGGATTCCACACCCGTCACTCATTGAAATGGGTATGGCCTATCACGTGTAACGCTGGCGCAGGAACGGGGACTGACAAAACAGTGGGAAGAAACTTGTGGGGTTTTGGTGAAATTTCATTGATACACCATAATAAGGACTAAACCTTAATACTAATGTCAGAGGTACAGCCTAAGCTTTATACGGTAGTGTTGTTGCTTACAGAGGGTTGAGATTTAATCAGATGTGTGAAATTTGGAAAATGGAAAGTTACTAATAGCTTCACTTCTCTTGTGTGCTTGACTTAGGACGGGAAAAGAATTTTAAAAAGTAGGTAAACCAATACTTTGTGTATATATGATTTTTATAAAAGCTACAGCAAAAATTGATCACTTTACTGTTTTGTTATGTGTAAGGACTTGGTTTCCATATGTCGATCTTTGTTGCCAAAGGCTCAAAGTTGGTAGCTACTGAAGTTTTTTGGATTTAGATTTGAATTTGAATTTGGATTTGGGTTTGAACATGATTTATTATTCATGGATGGTCAACATTTTAGCCAACTCCTACAGTCAATGCACAACATTTGGTGATCTAATCCGTTTAATTTTTAGTGCTCTTCCAACTAGATTATTACAAAAAATTCATGTTGAAATTAAATTCTATAAACCAAAAATATCCAAATTTCCATTTTCTTAGGAAATACCTTTTAACTTGTTTTTAAATTAATTTTTTTTATGGTATAATACATGGCAAATAAAAATGAAAAGTGAAATAATTTTGCTATGAAAATTTTCCACCGCTGTATTAGTGGAGTTTTGATTTTTAAAAAATATTATTTGTGACCGATTTAATTTATATTTTTTCTTTCCTCCCCCTAAAATAAAATAAAAAAAATCTCCTCATGGCATGCTCAGATAATTCAATTAGAGCCAAGGGGTACGCCTGGAAATGTACACAATTTCGACCGTTATAGGATTCAAAATCCAGTGGACCGTTCGATATTTGAGTACTTCCTTCTGCCGTTTCTCTCCCCCGCTCTCTCCGAAATTCTCTCTCTCACATCATCTCTCTCTCTCTCTCTCTCTCATAAGACATGGTCGATCACAACAACAGTAACTCATCAATCATGGAGTCCAAGCATCCACACCCACTTCACCAAATCGCTGAAACCCCAACCCACAAGCTTCTTTTGAAGCAATGGCTCAAAGAAGAAGAACTAATTCTCAATCGAATCGCCCTCAAAGAGACCCAAATCGACTCTGCTCGCAAAGAGATCACCCAACTCTACTGCTTCTTCTTCCTCTTCCACTCCACAGCTCTTGTCCTCCTCTTCAGTGCCTCTTCAAGGGGTCCACAAGGCGAAGTTTGTCACAGATCTTGGATTCCCTCTCTCTGTTCCCTGCTCTTCTCTCTCGGTATCGTTTGGGCTGTCCGATACAAGACTGATGTAGAGACCCACTTGGAGAGGCTGTTAGAGAGAGAAAAAGAGGATGGGAATCTCTTGGCGAAGTGTGTTGAGGAATTGAAGAAAAAGGGAATTGAATTCGATTTGCTGAAGGAAGTCGATGCACTTCGGAGGGCTAAAAGTTTGAGGGTAGAAGCGAAAGCGGTTCGAAAGTGGTCAGCGAGGGACTTTGTTACTATGTTCTTCTTCACTGTCTCTTGCTTGGTTCTGGGTCTTACAAGGTTCATCCTATGTAATTAGAATTTCCATAATGGATCTGAGTATAGGAGTTGGGGAAATGGGTAATTGTTAGATTTGAATCGGACACTCTCGAGCTTATGGATTAACATTGTCTTTTGGGAATTCATTTTGTTTTTCAAGTTTGGTCGATATTGGTTTGTGTCATTTACATAGAGAAAAATAGGCTTTAAAGGTGGGAAAGGTTGGAGTGCAGAATACACTGTTCTGCTTTTTATAATTTGGGGAAGATCATTGGAAAATTTATGGAATAAATTTGTCTTCTTTTTTGTTGCAATTGTTAAATTCGTCTTCTTTTTTGGTCCTTTCTTTTCATGCGATTCATATTTGTCATCGTTTTATTGCATTGATATTAGGAGATATGCTATTTTTCAAAGGAAAATTTTGTATGAATATGTTCAGAAATGTGAAAGAGCATAGGAATGTGTAAAAATATGTGAAATTGGGACTCTATCTACTGAGAATTTTAAGCTTTATATGTCACCAATGTTAGTCTTTTTTGGCAACAACTTCAAAATCGCCTTTGTGGACGAGAAAAACAAGATATTGAAACTGACTTTGAAGAATTGCCACCAGAAATGCTAAAGGTAGGCTATAGATTATACAACAAAATCAAACGTCATCTACAAGTTCAGCAATAGATGAATAAGTCCCAAAAATTCCAGCAACAGTTCCAAATATGATTATTCCAATGATGCCCACTTCCTTGTAACTCCAATTCTGATGGGAACCAGAAATCTTCAAGTAGTATAGCAATCCCGGTTTCCCTCTCTTTATTTACTGTATTCTGGACTTACGTCCTGTGGAGTTGGTGGTTGTATGTCTTGTTGTCATCCTTTAATTCCATATGTTTGAGTTTTAGGATGTGTTGGGTGTGTTTCGCACAGGTTGGTTGAGTCCCTTTCCTTGTTGCCCAGATTTTTGGTTGTCCGTTCGAGCAGGACATTTCACGCTCGAGCGGAGTTTTCACACTTCCAGTATTTGTGCCTCTACAAAACTTCTACAGATGTGTTTTTCATACTCGAGCGGGTTTCCTTACGCTCAAGCGGGTCGCGCTCAAGCGGGTATGTTGGTACTCGAGCAGGGTGTTCATTGCCTATGAAAATACTGGGAGAGGAGAATCTACGCTCGAGCGAACTGGTTTTCGCGCTCGAGCGGGTCCAGTTTTTGTGTTTGACGCTCGAGCGTCCTATTATCCGCTCGAGCGGGAGAGTCGTATATCGTATATCCACTCGAGCGGGAGATATTTTGAATCACTTTTTACACACACACTCTCTCTCTCTCTCTTACTTTCTAAAAATATCTTTTGAGAGCTCCTCTCTCTAGAATCTCCCTTCTCTCTTAGGATTGATCTAGTTAGAGTGTTCTTCTACCCTTTGGCCTTTACAAAAAGTGTGTTGATCGTCGAGGGTTACGTTTTGATCCGAAAAGTTTGGAGTTTGGAGCACTTTGAGTTTGGTCTTCTTTTCCGTTTGAACTCTAACTTCGAAGTAGGGATATCCTACTCCATCTTATGAGCTTTGTCTTTGAATTTTGGCATTTTGATATGTTAGGGGTCGTTGTGTAATTTTGTGAAAGTTTGGGGTCATTGTGTAATTTTTCAAAAGATGGGGTTTCAAACATATAAACCGTTATGTACATAATACATTCGAAGATGGACTTGGTGTTGGATTATTGTTGGAGAATGGAACCTTAGGGTTGGCATTGTAAATATGGGAAAAAGTCCTAATTGTTATGATAAATTAATTTGTATAATTAATTTAGGGAAATGAGGAATTGAATAGGAAATATTCAAATTGGAAAGGTACAGGATCTAAGGGTGTTGTTGGATTAATTTATCGCTCACCTAGATAAAATGTTGATACTTTATCCATTTGGTACATTTATTTTCTGTTTAGAAATAACTGCTTTGGACTATCGGTGGAGGATAGTCTTGATTGTTGTAGACAATGTATGATGATTAGGCAAATTAAAACTAATCAATTGAGTATGCCATCGAATATGGTGGTTGGTATAATACATCAAAATTTTGTATTGATTGATTGGACTTGTATATGATAATTGTTTATATACATTGTATTGTGTGGAAGGAGACGGGGGATGTACTCCACGGTTTATTGGAAGATGGGGGATGGACCTCTAAACTGGATATTGTTTGACATTGATACAACACTACTATGTGTATCATTTGTGAATCATAGAAGTGTTTTGTTTCACATTGATATAGCACTACCATGTGTATCATTTGTCTTGATTGATTAAATTTGTATATGATAATTGCTTGTATACATTGTATTGTGTGGGAGGAGATAGGGGGATGTACTCCACGGTTTATTAGAAGATGGGGGATGGACCTCTAAACCGGATTTTGTTTGAGATTGATACAGCAC